AACCTTTTTTCACTTCCAAATGTAACATTACTTCCTATATAATGTAGGACTAAAAACACATGCCAATTGATCAAAGGTTAAATGTGCTTCGTCGGATATCACAAGGATCACTTTCACTACTTAAGTTAGTAAACAATTGAATCTTGAAAAGGACCAAACAACTCCTTTAAGTTAGCAAAAAGTTGAATCTTGAAAAGCAAAAAAGCATCAAACAACTCCTCAAGTAAAAATTGAATCTTAAAAAGCAAAAAGCACCAAACAAAATAGAACAGAAAGAAAGACCTTTCTTTTCTTCCAAATGTAACATTACTTCCTACATAATGTAGGCCTAAAAACACATGTCAAACAATCAAAAGTTAAATGTGCTTCGCCAGATATCACAAGGAGAACTTTCACTATCACTACTTAAGTTAGTAAACAATTGAATCTTGAAAAGCAAAAAACGCATCAAACAACTCCGCAAGTAAGTAAAAATTGAATCTTGAAAAGAAAAAAGCACAAAACAAAATAGAACAGAAAGACCTTTTTTTCCCTTCCAAATATAACATTACTTCCTACATAATGTAGAATTAGAAACACATGCCAATCAATCAAAGAATATCACAAGGATTACTTTCACTATCACTATTTAAGTTAGTAAACAATTGAATCTTGAAAAAAGCAAAAAGCACAAAACAACAACTCAAGTTAGCAAAAAATTGAATCCAAAAAAGCAAAAAAAAGCAACAAATAACTACACATGTCAGCAAAAAATTGAATCTTGAAAAGCAAAAAAGCACCAAACAACTCCTTAAGTTAGAAAAAGTTGAATCCTGAAAAGCAAAAGGCATCAAACAACTCCTTTAAGTTAGTAGAAATTGAATCTTGAAATGCAAAAAGTACCAAACAAATTAGAACAGAGAGACCTTAGTTTTTCTTCCAAATGTAACATTACTTCCTACATAATGTAGGACTATAAACACATGTCAATCAATCAATCAAAGGTTAAATGTGCTTCACATGGATCACTTTCACTACTTAAGTTAGTAAAAATTGAATCTTGAAAAACAAAAAGCATCAAACAACTACACAAGTCAGCAAAAAATTGAATCTTGAAAAGCTAAAAAGCACCAAACAACTCCTCAAGTTAGTAACAGTTGAATCCTGAGAAGCAAAAAAGCATCAAACAACTACACAAGTCAGCAAAAAATTGACTTTTGAAAAGCAAAAAGCATCAAACAACTCCTTAAGTTAGTAACAGTTGAATCCTTAAAAGAAAAAAAGCATCAAACAACTACGTAAATCAGCAAAAAAATGAATCTTTAAAACCAAAAAGGACCAAGCAACTCCTCAAGTTAGTAACAGTTGAATTCTGAAAAGCAAAAAAGCATCAAACTACATAAATCAGCAAAAAATTGAATCATGAAAACCAAACAGCATCAAATAACTCCATAAGTTAGTAAAAATTGAATCTTGAAAACCAAAAACCATCAAACAACTCCATAAGTTAGCAAAAATTGAATCTTGAAAACCAAAATGCACCAAAAAACTAGAAAACAAGAACCCCTTTTTCCCTTTTTGAGGGGGTGGGGTGGGGTGGGGGTACCTTTAGATAAGCTAGAACTCTTGGTATTATCAATGTTTGATGATGAAGATTCAACATCAACATTAACACAAGACTTCACTTTTTCAGGCAATCTGGCTAAGAAATCACCCCTTAGAGTTGTAACTGAGTTCCGCCGTCCACTATAACTAAGCTTCCACCCATCCAACAATGGAGTTTTCACTTCATTCTTGATTTCTTCTCCCTCCATATTTTTTTTTTCAATAATATTTTTTTTCAATTTTGTTAAAACCCCATTGACATATTATAGCTCCTTGTGCAAAGTTTTTTTTTTTTTTTTGATTTTTTTTTTTTTACATAAATAATGAAATTTATTGTTATATTGTTTGGTGTTGATAAATAGTTAGATAAAGGCTAGATAAATCTTCTGAAAAGATTTTTTAATAAACATATTTGTATTAAAAGACAAAAGTAGTTAGGAATTAAATGATGAGACAAATAATTTTGTACATTAGAAACTTATTTATAGAAATTTGATACGTATTTATGGTATTGAGTACGAAATTTTGTTTACTTTAAATTTTATAGCATTGATTGTTAGTATTACTCCTTCTGTTTAATAATATTTGTTCACTATTAACTTTGCATGCTTCTTAAGAAATTATAAATAAAAGAGTAATTTTATTGTATTATTCTTTAAATATAATAAATATAATATCTTAAAAAATATAGCAGGAAAATAATGACTATAATTAATGATAATGGTAAATTAGGAATTATGAAAAATTATTCATTAATTTTATAAAGTAGACAAGTATTATTGAACATCTCAAAATAGTATACTGGATAATTATTGTTGAACGGAGAGAGTACTTTTGTACTATGATACTTTCATATTACATCGCTCTTGATTAATTTTGGGATATTTATTTAATGATAGAGATATTTCGATCATTTCTATCACAATCTATGATTAATTTTTTTTTAATGGATGTGACGCTACTCTTTTTATCCTCATGGATTCTAGCTTTGAAATGAGAATCTTAATACTGAATCATTTAATTCATAATAGATTTTACATAATTTAAAATTAATCGAATCAATAAATTTTGAATATCAATTTGTTATAAAAATGAAATGATTTTCACAAATATGCTATTTCATTTCACTATTTAATTTTAACCTTATTTTTAAATAAGTTATATAAAAGTCGAGACATTAAAAAATATGTAGAAATATATTTTGAGAATCGACCTGATTCTATCTCTTTTCATTCTATTTGAATAAGGAAAGAATGTCAAAGAATTGATTTTTCTTTCTATTGTTGAATCTCCTTTTGATTATTCAAATGTGATATTCTAAATCCTCATTATTACTTATAGAACTCAAATTCCAAATGGTCTCTGTTTTGAACAAGTCTAAATCTATTTTTTTCCTTTTAATTAATTTGATTTTGATATCGAAATTCAGATTAAAAAAAAATATATAATAACTCAAACTATAAGACATAAGACTAATTCAGATTCACCTGAACAAATCAACCAAATTGAATTTCATTGTAATTTTATATATGAAATAACATATATTAATATCAATATTATAGACTGATATGTAAATACTTATAAAATACAGCCTCTATCTTTATTTTATTCTAGAAAATAGTTTTATAGCTACAATTTAACTAATAAATTATGTTATAGAAAAAACATACGACCAAACTATTCATTTATTAGAATTTTGTCTATTTTAATCCACTTATTTCATTTAAGATAAGAATATCTCTCAAATCCAATCAAGTTTATTAATAAAAGCAATTTAAAAAAATATAGCTAAATTTCAATATAGACATTAAACACTAATATTAAAAAGGAAAAATATAAAAAAGTTTTTGTTTCTTATTATGATCTGACAAGTAAATAAGTGAGTAGTGAATTCTACCTACTTTCTCCTAGATGCAATAATTTTTTTTGTCTTTTTCCCCTTTATTACAAGTTTGAAAAGTTTTAATTAATGCCTGATTTTTTTTTATTTTCAAATTTCACCTTATCATTGTATTCTATGAAGGTGAAGTGAAAAATAGAATTAATATGAAAAAAAATTATTTTTCAATTTTCACTAAAAAGTTATTTACTTTTTTATGTTTAAAGAGTATGCTTTTCTAGGAAAATGTATCATTATTTTTTTACTAAATCGAACATGAAAAAATTAAAAAATAAACCGAAGAAGTTATTGAGCTCAAGCACAAATTTGTTTAATGAAGGTTGCTTACTTACTCCCTCGGACTAATTAGACTTAAATCTCTTGATTTCGTTTTCTAAAAAAAAATTCCTCCAAACCAAACACACCCTATATCTATTTTAGTGTTTTCTTGTTTATTTATTTAAATATTAAAGCTGGATCAATATTTTATTATTAAATCTTATTTCGAAAAAACCAAGTACATGCCACTTCGAGAATATTGATTGGTTGAGAAAAATAAATAATTAAAATCAATCTTTAGTTCATGATAATGGCACTTTTTTCTCATTATTAGTTGTTTGATAATGACACTATAAAAGAACATAAATAACCAAATGAAAATACCTATTTTTACTTTGAGTTTCAACCGTCCAATTTCATTTTTTATTTATTTAAACTTATAGGTTTATCGATTCAATCTTTGAATCGATCCAAATTCAAAAGAAAATAATAAATAACGATAAGAGGTACACCTCAAAACAGGATGGCAAAAATTCATCAAATGTACAACAACCTTATGTAATCCAACAAACGAGGTATACACAAACCTTACAACTACGTTGGTAAAGTTAGGGAGGCTGTTTCCGATAAGACATTTATTGAATGTACTCGTCTAGTTCATCGATCATTCAATATATATATATATACTAACAAATGATGTATGAAGCTTTTCTTACCTTCATCTGCTACCGCTATGCAGTAAATCAAGTTCAATCACGTCATATAACATGTTCTCTGGACATACACAGATGCTCTAAAAGATTCAGTAGCAACAGAAATCAACAATCTAGATCAACTTGTAGAGAAGTCGATACCCCACAGAGTATGGGGTGTCCCAATCTATGTTGCTCGGATTCTTCAAAAATGTGGGTGTGTCAGATCCTTCAAGAGCAGTGCAATTTTGCAGGATCCAACACAAGTAAAGTAACATTTTTGGAGAGTCCGAGCAACTTAGGTCACAATAACTAGAGATCAAACAGTAGAGAAGTCCATCCAAACATGTAATAGTGCTGTCAAAAATATCGAGCACCATAAGATAGAAATAAAACAAAAACTTCAGCTTCTGGTAATGCCATGAACGAACTCATTCCCAATCACATACCATAGTCTCCATGTTGACTATAGGGAGAGCTACTGGATTGGTATGATCGGATTGTCCTCGTTATGAAAGTTTAACAGATCATCCAAACCATAAAACGACATAATTGGAGTCGGTAACAAGTAACATAACTGATGTTCATAAACCATAATTATGTCAAGGTTACATTCAACAGTGACAAGCAGATCAAAAATCTCCTTAACAAGGGTGCTATAACCAAGTCTAATCAAACTTTTAAAAAAGAACCAAAAATCGTACTGGGAGTAGCTCCTAATCAAACAGACTGAATCCCATATCGTCATCACTTTCTTCCTTGGGCTCTTCCTGTTCGTCATTACAACAAAAGCAAACAAAAGTTAAAGAGGTTTGCAACGACAATGAACTACTTCTAATCAAACAGACTGAATCACATGTCATCGTTACTCTCCCTCCAATCAAACTGACTGAATCACATGTCATTGTTACTCTCCCTCCGCTCTCACCACAAAGCACATTGAGGATTTGAATTATACTACCTCAAGTAGTAATAAAAGGGTTCTAAATCTAATTTGTGATTATGTAAAATAACAGTTTAGCAAACATACAAGGTTGGGTCAGAAACTACTCAGCTACCAAATACATTGCATACGACTCTGCTCTCACCCGCTCAAAGAAAAAAGATTAAACTTGAAAAACATTTATAAACTTCATGATTGAGGAGATCCTACAAACAATCTAACATAATTCAAGAACTCCCAATTAAGGAGATTCCACCAAATAATCATAATTACTTTCTTATACTGCAAATCATAACACCTTAATAATAAATTCAACATCCAAACATATCTTAAGAATACACAATTCATCATCAAAAGATTCAACCATGTATTCAAAATCATCTTACATCACTAACATCTTTGCCAAAACTTTTAACTCTTCACCATTTTTAATTTTTTTTTTTGATAACCGAGAAATCCGTCTATGACCGGCCCTTTGGACCAATCACAGCCTTCTAAACTCGGTGGATAATGGGCCCGCCCCTCTACCCTTCTCCACTTAAATACCGGGCTTCGCTTTGCATGGTGTGGGGCTTGAACCTGCGACCTAAGCCACAAATCGTCCACCTTTTGCCACTCGAGCTAGGTCTTGGGGGCTTAACTCTTCACCATTTTTTGTAAAATTATTTATCCATTTTGTTCTCCTTAAGAGTAAATGATATCCAAAAACATGACTCTAAAAAGATTTCAGGATATGCTCATCAAAATCACATTTTTCAATAACAATTTTTCCCTTTCATTGTTATAGAAGCAAAGTAAGAAACATTTCTTCTCACCTTCTTTTCCTCAGCAGCAGGGGCAGCAGCTGCGGCACCACCACCAGCACCACCAGTGGGGGCAGCAACAGCGACTGCACCACCACCACCACCAGCACCGACATTCATGATGAGATCACCAAGGTTTTTCTTCTCAGCAAGCTTAGCAAACAATAGAGGCCAGTATGGCTCCACTGTCACATTAGCTGCTTTGACTAAAGTTGAAATTTTCTCAGCCTATTAACACATCAAACACAAACAGATTCAATATATGCAACGATGAAGCCCTGTAATTAGAAAATATTACACATCAAACACAATCAAAATATTAGAACACATGAAAAACACTGGATTAGAAATATTACACCAAAACCACTATCGAAAAAAACCCAATAGGATTTGAAAATATTACACACTACAACAAAATTACAATAAAAAACACTAGGATTAGAATAATTAGGGCAAGAGAATCTTACGGTGATTGGAATGTCCTCATCATGGAGGATCAAGGCAGCGTAGGTGCAAGCAACTTCTCCGTACGACATATTGATTAACTAACCATAACAGAAAAAAAACATGAAAATGCTCAATCATTTTGAAAATGGAAAAACATAAATGAAAATACTAATAAATGTGAAAATCACATGGAAATGTTCAAACACACCCAATGATGAAATAAACTGATAAAAATGCTGAAAATTACATGAGAAAGCTTAATAACATTCAAAAATGGGGAAAGCCACATGGAAAAGCACAAAACTGCTAATGGACGATGAAAATCACATGGAAATGTTCAAACACACCCAAACGTTACTAAATAAACTGATAAAAATGCTGAGAAAACTATGAAGACAATATGAGTAAGTTCAATCACTTTTAAAATGGTGAAAATTGCATATAAATGTTCAAACAAACCCTAAGATGACAAAGTAAGCAAATGAAAATGCCAAGAAAACTGTGAAAACAGTATAACTAAGCTCAATTGCATTCAAAATGGTGAAAATTACATGAAAATGTTCAAATGCACCTAAAAATGACGAAACAAACTGATAAAAATGCTGAGAAAATTGTGAAAACAATATGAGCGAGCTCTATCGCATTCAAAATGGTGAAAATTACATGGAAATGTTCAAACGCACATAAAAATGACGAAATAAACTTATAAAAATGCTGAGAAAACTACGAAAACTATATGAGCAAGCTTAATATGATTAAAAATGGCGAAAACTACATGAAAATCTCAATCAATTTGAAAATGGCAAAAAATAAACGAAAATGCTACTAGAGAGTAAAAATCACATGGAAACATTCAAACACATCCAAAAATGACGAAACAAACTGATAAAAACGCTGAAAAAACTGCGAAAACTATATTCTTAAGCTTAATTGCATTCAAAAATGAAAAAAATAATAATCATATACCTTCGAGAAGACGGCAAAGAGTGTACGGCGAGTTCGAGAGCAATTGCTGGTCTTCTCCTTAGGGTTAGGGTTTTGTAATTATAGTAGTTATAAACTTATAACGAAAAGAAAGACCTAAATGGGCCTAGAAGGTGAGAAGAAGTTTGAGGCCCAATTTTGTTAATGAAGCCCATTATTGCCCATGTTAAAATTTGTTCAAATTCATCTACTTTCACTTCATAGAGACTCAAGTTTAATTCCCAAAAAATAAAACGTTTGTCTGATTGGTGAATAAGTTAAATATGAATTAGGCTTAACACATAGTTAACCTGGTAACTTATTAGGATTTAGACATTTGAACTAAGCAATGATTCCTCGTCAAGTAAGTTAGAGGGGTGTGGACATATGTGTATACCGACTAGGGATGGAAAGCTGATTTCTCTCATTCCACTCGTCTAGTCCTCTTCACGAATTTGTACAATCAATGCCACAAAAATAGTTAGATCCATTATCAAAGAAATAAGGAAAGGGGCGACAATTTGGCACCAAATAACCAGAGGTGTGGAAAGAGTAGTCGTGAGAAGCGAAAAAACCATCAATAAACGGCGATAGTTCATGGAGGTTTCTACAGAAAGACCCCTTGATTCTGGCAATGTTCCAATTAAACATATCAACTCCTAATAAAGTGTTTCAATTAGACGTTTTTAAATCAAAACTTGAAAAAGAACTTTTACACGTATTTGCATTCGTCTATTAAAGTAGTTAAGTTAATTACATAAAATATATTATCTCCTTTAATTAAACGTATCAACCTCAAGAAAAAAACGCTTAAGGTTTAACAACTTATTGAGGAGAATGAAAATATAAAGAAAATGATTAATTGTATCTAGTTAACTTAACTATCTAATATACAACTCAAAATTTGAATTGAAAAAAATGTCTAATTTAGATATTAGGAGTTGCAGTGTTCAATTGAAACACGTCTTAGTTCGAGTATCTAAACAAAATATCCTGACAAGGTATCTAACATAAAATATCCTAAATACATTGTTTTTCCAGTAATTTATCAGAAAGCATTTTCTGCAATACAAGGAGAATTGAAGGGGTTGGTTACTGTCTCTATGACCCCCAATAAGAAAAATTGCATATTAAGCATTATAACTGATGCATGGACAGCATTGAATTTTTCTTCAAGGCTTTAGTGGGGGTGGGGTGTGGGGTGTGGGGTGTGGGGTGTGGGGAGGAGGTGGAGGGGAATCAACACGAAGGTATGTAGTTTGAATCATTTAACTCTAACAGAGGCCATCAAGTCTTCATATTCAGATCATTCTCTTGTTTCTCTGCCATTGCTGGATTACCACCAGGATGAGGATGTCGTGGGACAGACGTGGACGAGAAGGGGTCATATGATGTGATCCAGAGGAGCAAGAGGCAGGCCTACCATGACGGAAGAAGACATTGTTGGGAGCCTCAAAGTTCTGCGGTCGAAAGCATGGCATTTGGATTATTTTGCTGAAGAGGCACGGAGTTTACTCTAGGAGGAAAAGAGCCTACATGATTTGGAGCTGGCCTAAAGTTCATAGGTTGCATTTGAGGGCCAGTAGGTGAAGCTATACCCTGATTTGAAAATGTCGGATGCCTAAATTGAGGGAGAGGGCCAACAGGTCCTCGAGCAAAGTCAAGTGACATAGGTGGTCCTGGCTGACTAATCTGATTGCTTAATTGGGGTCTTTGAAATCCTTGAATGACAGGTGGGGGATTTGGATGGTCTATTGCTGGTCGTAGATGAGACGGAATCATATTGGATTGAGGTGGTGTAGACCCTAAAGATGGTAAAGGATGTCTTAAGTCCACCAATTTGTCCAAAATGAGCGGAAGGCATATATGGCTGCTGCATTAGTGGTGCCTGTGGGATAGAGTGAACAAAAGGGTTTCGAGGAACTGAACCAAAACCATCTTGCATACCATGTGGTGGACCAAAGGGCGAGGATGTATTTGACAGGTTGGTAGATGACGGTGATACTTGTTGAGTGTTGCTGACCAGGGATGCTGAAGAAATCCCGGAGTTAGCAGGTCTTGGAAATCGAGGTACTGGATTCTGAGATGTAGGTCCAGGAAACCATTGCCCTTGGTATGGCTGAAAATGACTTTGAAGTTGAGCAGGTTGTGCTCCAAAACCTGGTTGAGCCATCCCTTGATCTACTACAGGAGGAGGAGTCAGGCCAGGTGTTGCTTCAACCGAAATAGTTTCTCCATCACCTGATGCTTTTGTGGTTGTGGCGCAGGAGTCATCTGAGAACCAAATGGAACACTTAACTTTATGACGCGCACACAAAAAAAAAAAAAAACTGAATTGCTGCATTGGTATTCACAGTAACACCATGTAAAACACCATACTACTGTATACTTACTGAAGCTGGGGTAACCAGAAGTTCAATTAAAGCAACTGCAGCATCAACCTTTTCATATGTCTCAGCTGATACTTGGACATGCATTTCCTCATAAGCACCAGAGTCAGTTTCACCAGAAGTAACTTCTACCTGGGGACAGATTAAAACACACGTCAATTTTCAAGAAATCAAGGTGAACAATAGGTATATGTCGTTGCAGCTCATACAGGAGGCTTGAAATCCAGACATGATGATCTAATACTAGGAGCAAGTAGAACATAGATTGCATAAAAACTACAGTTTATAGGTGTCTCCAGCCTAGTCTACAACAACATACCCAGCGTGATCCCATAAATAAGGCCTGGGAGGGTGGGTGTACGCAGACCTTACCCCTACCTTGGAAAGGTAGAGAGACTTTCAGATAAGACCTTTGGCTCGAGAAAAGCATTCAAAACAGGTTTGAAAAATACCAAGAGTGCAAAACTATAACCAGAGTATTGATCATCAGCAATTGTACAATTAGATGACACACTGAATATAAATATACACGACAACAAAGTCAGTAATAAAATAATGTCGGAGCTCCAATGTGGGCTCCGGACACCGGGTGGGAAACCAAAATAAAAAATAAAAAAATGTCACGGCTCTTAATAATTACTATATGTTCCACAGTTTTAAGTTTGTCATATAGATTGACCTTAAAAAGCACAAAGAATTGTGCCAATAATAATGCCAAATAAGAGGTCAGACAGTTCAATCTGCATGATTTACATTGAAGAACTCGCAGGAGTCACTTAAAGATGAATCAAAAAATGAAATCATTTATAGGTAACATTTTAGGAATATATCACAATTGTTCTATGCTATCTGGATACCGGTTACAGGCTACAGTTTGAAATACACGAGCACATGAGATGCTTAGCCAGGTGAATACCCTGTACTAACTTGAGCTAAATTTCCCTCTTAAATAGTAAAACATGGTATATAACTAAATCGACTAATTAAAACCCTTAAAACATGAATTAAGAAACAACTAGCTTGTGGCAGTCAGAATCAGTATATTAAAAGACATGACATTGAATTGAATAATTGCACATCTACCATTTCATATCTAAACATGTTCATTTTTGTTGTGGAAGCAAGGACAACTAATAACAATTTTCTCCATAAGTCTCCCGTTAATCCATAGTTTGTCTAACTTGTTTTGCAAGGGAAGGCCATCATTCTCATTGATATCAACACATATTCAAGTCTTATAAGAATGTAAATGTAGTTAATAGAGTAGTAATTTTAAGCCGAGGAGAAGTGTAATCCAATACAATACAGATGATCCTTAATCTTGTTCCAGTTGATAAGAATTCTAAAATATTAAGAATCAACTCACAGAACCCAATGGGAGAACTATTGGAACAAGAAAAAAAGAGAAGGAGCACAAAGTGCCAGAAAACTGGGCTAAACTCACAGGTGCTGGAATTTTTGCCTCCTTTGGTACAGGCTTATAACCAGCAGGTGGCTTATAACTGGGATTCAGTTTTAGAATCTCCCCTGGACATGAATAAAAACAGATAAGATGTATGGTGTATTTGATAATGGAAGAGTAAAAGTCAGTGACTCGAGGGATCAATGATTAATCAAAACATACCAATGATTTCCCGTCTTTCGAGTTGCAGTGATCTCACATTCTACATCCACAGAAGACGTCAGCATAAGAAGCTAACCCACGCAAAATTTGCAACTAAAAAATCTTAATGAGTTGATTTACCTCATCATTAGGTTGATGATCTGAAGACTCGTGATCTTTAGCAGGAGAGGCTAATAATGAGTTTTTGCTGCCTTCTCCCTCCAAACTCCTAGGACTCAGTAGTTGTGTTATTTGATCCACACGACTCTGTGCAAAATTTGTAACGCAGCAATATCACTTAGTGACCTGGAGTAGGAAATTAACAAAAGCCATTCACACAGAATTACACCGTCTTTTAGGACCCAATGGACAAAGGGAAACTATTAATGGCCCATCAAGCCATACTCCATCAATATAATTGAGGCCATAGATGCGTTAAAAAACATTTTTTTTGGGGGGGGGGGTTGATAGAGTTATGATGTTCTTCAAGAAATGTCTAGGATGATTCTCATGTCGCACAAATATATGTGAATGTAATTACGGTTTATTTCTATGTTGCTCGAATTCCCCTAAAATGTTGCCGCACCAATGTCAAGTCCTCCAAAAATGCACTACTTTTGAAGGATCTGCCATGCACCCGTCAGCATTTTTGAAGAGTATGAGCAACATACTTTATTTTCAGCTGTTTGATCAATGTAACATAATATGTATACATATTGCATATATATGCATGTAAATGTGCAGTTACACATAACCTAACATGGTAAAACAATTTTTTAACGACTGTTTTGGAGTGCCCTTGTCCATGTTGTGGATTTCTTAAAGAAAGGCATGCCCTGTTATGATTCTCTGTATCTATATGAGAAACACATGCATAGATTCAATATTAAGGATCACAAAACATAAAACACAAAAAAAATTGTGTAATCTCCAAAAATTGTGTAATCTCAACAGGTCATTTCTTTCTGATGCAAGAAATTATCAAGAAACGTAAAAAAAAAAAAAAAAAAAAAAAAAAAAAAACTAGAAACTAAATATTCTTTTAATAAAGTATTACTTTCAATATATTTCTCAATTTCAAGACAAAGCTTAAAAAAGAAGAGAAAATGTAAATAGGTATATATTGCATAGCAATCTAAAGCACCTGATATGTCAAAGTTCTTGCTTTTCTGACAGTAGTATCCTGTGTGAGATCAGGGCGCCATTTAGTTTTCCTTTGCACCTGTTTAGTGCTATCTTCATTTACAGAATCACTAGCTCCTTTTTTTCCTACTCGAAATACCGGAACCAATGAACCAGCTAATATACATGAGCTTACAATGATGATGATGTTTGAATACATAGTATGCACATAACTAATTACAGAATACTATGACCCCTGATTTTCTACTATAACTGCTATAAAAACCCTAACTTCAGAAGATGCTCCTAAACAGACATAAAACTCAAAACAAACATTTAAAAATGTGAACACCCTAATGCCAGTGTTATAGCATGTATGGCCAAGTACTTTGGAAGATTAACTGTTTGTGTTTGGGGAATTAATTTGAAAAGCACTTTTGTCAATATAGGAGCAACAATTTGTGCTTGACGAAGGTACCAAAAGTGCTTCTTCCAGGGAAAACACTTAACTTTACCCTAAAAGCTTGGTTAAATATCTCAACTCTCTAAAATAATCTCTTAAAAAAAAACTTTTGGCTTCCCAAAAGCTTGGCCAAACATGCTATAAATCTAGTGTGCATACATAATTCTTTTTCTGTTTTGTTTGTTTTTCCCTAAAGTTAACATAGAAAACAACTCTTCATGAACAGATGCGGGTATTAAGATAATCTGTGTCATCCATCAACTAATCCCCATCAAACAGACTGTAATATCACAAACTGAACTTCCCACTTTCCTCAAACATAAATGAAACAAAATCCACAACATTAAAACTTCCATTTTCCATACCAAACCCCCAAATCATTTCACACAGAAAGGAAAGAACATATTTTGGAATAGCACAAGAACAATAACAACATACCCCGTGTAATCTGGGGAGGGTAGAGTGTAAGAAGACCTTACCCCAACCTGGTGGAGATAGAGAGGTTGCTTCCAAAACATCCTTAGATCAAGTGCAGCAAATCAAAGTACTTGTGAAAAAAGGGAATATGGCAGAAAAGAAAGCACTACAGAGCATTCAGAAAAAAGAAACAAAACAACAGCGAAATAGTGCGGTAACAGAAACACAAGTGGTAACAGATATCAGAAGCAAGAAACTGCACATATAACCCTAATACTACTGTGCTCCCAGACTCCCACCAAGCCTAACCCAACTGTAAAGCAAGTCAAAGTTCAACTACCTACTAATCTTCTACCCTAATCCACTACCTCCATACTTTCTTATCAAAAGTCATGTCCTCAGTAAGTCAAAGCTGAATAGCACAAGAACAAAGGGAAAAAAATGAATCTTGATTTTACAAACAACGAAAAAAGGAAGAAAAATATTGACAACAACAAACTACCCATTACCAAAGAAACCTTAAATATCAAAAACCCATGTCACATTTTTACTAAGAAAGAGAAATACAAAACCTCAAAACTGAACTTTTCCACTTTCCACTTTCCTCAAACACATAGGAAGCAAAAACTACAACATTCAAACCTTCATTATTACAAAATCAAACTAACAAACCATTTCACACAGAAAGAAAACAGTATATTTAACAATAGCAGAAGAACAAAAAACTGAATCTTGAAATGAATAACAATAGCTCTCAATTAAGTACTATTTCATCCGCGTAACAAAGGAATAACTTTGGTCTAGTACAACAAAAAGTAGTAAGTGATAACCAGAACTATCTCTTTACGCGCTTGTTGTTTTTTGCAGAACGATCACCTTTGTGGAATCCTCCGAAATCGTTGGTAGTGTCAGCAGTGTTCTGCTTCTTCAAACCTTTTCTCCCACCAAATCCAAACTTGGAATCCTTGAATTCCCTGCTTTTCCTCTTTTTGTCAAACCCCTTCCCTTTCCCACCAAATGTTGCTTTCCCACCTGAACGATCTCCGGGAGATACACCAGGTCTCTTCTTATTTGATCTCTGATAGGGTTTATCAGCATTTCCTCCATTAAATGCCAAATCTAGACCGCCAGCATCTTCTTTATCAAAGCCGCTTTGTTGCCTCTGCTTCCTCCACTTTTTAACAGACTCAATCTCTTGCTTCTTCTGCTTAGTTCTTTCCTTCATCTTCTGTGCTTGTACATCCTTCGCAAGTTTCTTGTTATCTCTGGCCTTCCTCCTCTCCTCGGACTCCTCAATCCTCCTCTTCTCAGCCAAGAGTCGGCCCTTAACTTTCTCCATGTGAGTGTCTGACTTCACCATTTCCGCATAATAATCAGAGGGCCTCAGAAATGGTTCACCAGTTGACTGAAAGTTGACGTACGCTTGGCGTATACCCTCCAACCCCTGCGTGTAAAACGAGTGCTCCCTCGCCAAATCATCGTTCACATCCACCTCTTCTTGCTCCTCCCTGTTGATGCTAAGCCTGTGAGTCCAATCCAAATCATCAGGCCAACTGATATCAGCCAGCCTTTCAAGCAAACCATCCCTGTTATATACAGCAGTTTTTGAAGGTTCAGCCAGCTTTACGACTTGCTGATCTCCTTCTTCATCTTCCGATTCCGACTCTGTTTCTGGATCGAAATCCTCATTCTCTGGGTTCATCATAGCCATTTCATCCGCAACCATCATACACAATCACACTTTCTGATAAGAAGAGTGAAAACATAATATTAGATTTACTGACTAACTAGCTCAAATTACCAGTCACAAGCTCAAATAAAGGAGGCAGGTTGGCATCAAACATAAGACTAAGTTGATAAAAATGCTGAGAAAACTGCAAAAACTAAACTATATGAGCAAGCTTAATATCATTAAAAATACTGAAAACTACATGAAAATGCTCAATCACTTTGAAAATAGCAAAAAATAAATGAAAATGCTAATATAAACAGTAAAAATCACAAAACACATCCAAAACTGACGAAATAAACCGATAAAAAACGCTGAAAAAACTAAGAAACCAATATTCATAAGCTTAATTACATTCAAAAATGAAGAATTTTTTTTTTTCGATTTCTCACACCAAATTTGCACAGATTAATCTGTGTCTCAGAAATCATCCAAGCAAATAACAGCCAAATTAGCACTAAAAAACGCCAAAAAAAAACAAAAAAAAATATATATGTGATTTCAGTTTTCTAAATTACATCAATGAAAAACAATGGAGATTAACAGAGAGAGAAGAAACTTACAAACAATTGGAAGAATTCGAAAAAGTTGAGAGCTTTTTTTGGGACGAAGGGTTTAGGGTAGGGTTTTAGTATTAAATGATGGGCTGAAATTTATTGGGTTATAGTAAATGGGCTTGAAAGCCCAGATAAGGCCCATTTACCCAAGTAAGACTAAAATTACCAGTCATAAACTCGATACTTTCATCAATTTCTTTGAATTTCATTATTAGATAAATAACGATTCAACACTGATGTTGATACGCATTACTATGCCATTACGCGTATACATCAAATTGAGAAAAAATATTTATTTTAATGGATTCATTTAATTGATATCAAATTATCTAAATATCGATAATTCTATCAATTTCTTTGAATTTCATTATAAGATTGATGAAGCTTCAATACCGATGTTAATACAAAACAATATGGGATTACGAGTATACATAAGTTTGGAGAAAGAATCAGGATATTTCAATTGTTGAAGTTGAAGATGGAAATATCAATATCCGTTTAGTTGCTAATGGCTCGATATATTGAATATTTTAGAAAAAAATGGTTGAGGTTTTTATAGTTTATTGAGGCGAATGAAAATAATTAAAGAAAATGATATATTTTATGTGGTTAACTTAACTACCTAATGTACAACTCAAAATTTGAATTGAAAAATGTCTAATTAGAACACTTTATTAGGAGTTGAGATGTTCAATTGAAACACGTCTTAGTTTGAGTATCTAAACAAAATATCATGACAAGTTTAAGGGGCTAATTATATATTAAGCCTATGAATTAAAATACAAGAACTAAATAACATAATGAATATAATTTTATAAGTTCAGGTGACGAGATAAAAAGAATAGTTTGATGCACAAAGCATCTTATCGCACCCAAAAAAGTATAATCAACTCTGTAGTTGCACAATCTTTGAACAAATTGATTGCAACAGTACCTATTTATACAACTTATAACCCGCAGAGTTTTTTTTTTTTTGGTTTCCCACCCGGTGTCGGAATCCACATTAGACCTCCGACTAACTCTGGATCGTGCACTACAGGGCCATTTGGGGTGGCGATCCCAACAAGAGTTTCTCCATACTCAGGATCAAACCTGAGACCTCTGATTTAGGGTGAAACACTCCTACCAGTGTACCATAACCTGTAGAGCTAAATATGATGCCTATAGCATAACAAAATTGATCAGATGATAGTAGGGGTGGAGATCTAACATTGAAAGTACGAGTTCGACAAAATCCAATAATTTCGATCCAAACCATATGTGTCATGAAATCTACTGAATATATACATAAAATAAATATCATAACTCATAAACTTCAAATTCAAAACATACAAACTTCGAATCTTGAATAAGCCTCTAGATGGTAGAGCAGAACCAAACATCTCGGTTTGTGTTGCATACATGAATCCTTCAGCATTTAGCTTCATTTAGGTATCAAGACATTTTGGCATCGATGAACAGCAAAATTTGTGTATAAAGAAGCTTCATTTACGAAATGAGACATTTTGGCATCGATAGACGCCAAAACTTGAGTATAACGAAGGTAAGAACAGCGTAAAGGGGATACCGCCATCACAGCAGAAGGTGTCTTGATATGCAATAGTGGATGGACCCTGAATGCCTTTGCTTAATGCATTTCTCTGGTTTTGATGCCGCGTTTTTCTTTGCAGGGGGCAAAAATCATGGTAGAAACGCATCAACTTATCCAAGTCCCGGAGAGGTAATAGGTGATTATTCCCACGTCCGATCTACATTCCAGTGCTGGGACAAGCAAAGTACATTGCCAGATTGTAAATGCTTCCACAATTAGCAAGTAGTTGAAGCCACATTGACAGATGATGGTTTTGCAGGTTTTTCTGCAGTAGAGTCGCTCAGTTTCCTCTTCTTCTCATCACGGCGCTGCTTATTTGAGGAGCGGTCAGCAGTGGAAACAATTTTTGAAACAGTAAAGCCAGCAACTTCAAAATCATAGGATCTGTTTGGGAGTAACGCGTTACGAACAATGACATCAACACCATCATATGTCCAGACACCTAATTTAGCATCTCCCTTTAGTCCAATGGCAAACCAACCAAGACCAGAAGCAGCAATATCAACAGAACTAGAATCCCACATATTTCCATTCACATGAAATTCCTTCTTCAACCATTTCCCTAGCTCTTCAGATCGTCCCTCTCCAATCGGCGGCTGACAAAATGAAAATACAATATAGCATTTAATCATATCATATACATCAGCCAAACTGTCAAAGCACGGAAGTAACTAAATCAGGTTTCTACATCTACTAGGGACTTTTAAGTCAGTAGCCAACTACAGGGAGACTTGTTTACAAATATCATGAAGTGTCTGAAGAATCTGGCCCCTTCTAGCGGTCCTTTTATGAACCTAAGCCATCTAGACTATGCTTCATCAATTCTCAACCTTACAATTCTAAAGGTTAAGAAAGAAAAACAAATGAAAGCAGCAAAAGAATCATCATACAACTGAATGAACGATTCAGCAGAGATATCTGGAGAAACCACACTAGCTCAACTCAGATTCCATATATTTTGACACCTGGTGAAGATTTAAAACACAGAATGGAAGTGATGTAATATCAAACACGCATGTTTAGGAGTATGTTTAGGCAGATAGACCATTCACCCAGTGCCGCTACCCACTAAGGCTGACCTAATAGGAGAAGAGACTTGGAGGTAACAACCAGAATGAGACATTATTTGATCGTTGAAATGCCAATGTCAGATAGCACTTTTTCTTCTTGCCGAACCAGTTCCAAACATAGCATCAGTTTATAGAAGCTATGAGAAACTTGAAGGATGCTCTAAGACTATTGACGGCGTGGAGGTTGAGGATTGGGGTAGAAGGCTAGGTAGTACATAGTTCCGCATCTTGTCTCTCCTGCTAGTAGTATTAGTATTATTTTACTATTTTCGTATTTTTCATTCTTAGTTTTCTATTACTACTTGTTGTCACTTAAGCCTCTATTTTCTTACTATTCTGTTGTTATTACTGCTTATGTCTTCATAAATGTTGTGTTTTTGCTTTCCTTGAGCCAAGGGTCTATCAGAAACATCCTCTCTACCTGCCACAGTAGGGGGTAAGGTATACATACACTCTACCCTCCCCAGACCCGACTTGTGGGACTAAATTGGGTATATTGTTGTTGCTCTACAACTGTTGACACCTTTAATTCCCGGCGTGAGGATGTTCCAGTACCTAAAATTTCTATTACCAAAGAGCATTTATTTAGCCCTCACCAGTTCCAAACATAGCATCAAACTGTTTTACTTTGTTGCTTTTTTCTTAAAAGTCAAGCACCGAATTCCCTACAACGCTATCATCCAACACTGTTATTCAGTGGCACAGACCATCAGCAAAACTTTCAAACTCTTTCACCCCAACACTCAAAATTCATGACAGAAGCAAAGCCAGCTTCAAGCTAGATAAGACTAAATTCAAAGACGCAACAAATTAACCGTCTTCTGTTGACAATAATATTTTTTTCTTTTCTGCAGTTAAAACTGAATTTACACCAACAGTATTGAATACGTGCAAAAAAATTAATAGGAAGTGCAATATCATAAACTTCAGACAAAAGGGATTTGTTAAAACGAAAGATTTGAAATTAGAAACAAAGAAAGAAGAACATCCAATTCCTAAAGCAGATAGTACCTGCAGCTGACGCCCAAAATGTTCTTCCAGCATTGTGCTGACGTTCTCTGTCCTCCCCATGTGAAGTGGAATTAGCGGAGATGCCCAAACTGTAACATACACGGAATCAACAGATAATTCTTCCACATCCAACCGCATGAGCCCACCTATATGAACTGAATGTCCAACCTGTCCACAGCAAATAATGAAATCATGAGATTTCAAAGTGGATAAAACAAACTAAACCAGAGAAAGCATGTTCTTCAAGTGAAGTTCAAGCATAAGCATAGGAAGACACATCTGATGGAGAATAGGTGCAATGAAATGATACATTTGGGTTGTCTTTTCATATTTAGATCCTGTATCTAAGACTACACAAGCAACCAAAACGGTCATATCTCCACAAGCATTTTGCAGGTCAATAATCTAATCTCTGGTAATATCTTTCCTGGGCATACATTGCCATTAGATTCTCTTTTTAATGCTCTACCGCTTCACATAAAGTATTTGACCTGACCAAAATCTTTTTACAAAATGGAAAAAAGTAAAACAAACTTTTGTGAGGTAAGTAAGTTCAGATAGTTGATTGAAACATATTACAAGCACCAATAAGCACTACACGGGAGAACTTAAGCAAGTATACCACCTCAAAAATGAGAAAGGAATAATGAATTATACTAAAGTTGCTTACTTTCTTATCTGGTTATCTATTAACATTCAGTGCAAAGATTGGATAAGACTAAGATGAGCAAAACGAGATGGACTCAGTAAATTTTCATGTATGATAGTAGTTGATTTCTCCGAAAGACGATAAACAAAGTCAACAACACTCAAAACTGAAAGTGAAATGCAATAGAAAGAAAGCTTTTGCAGTAAAACAACACATTCTTTAAGCAGCCTAGAAGAGAATTATGAACCTTGATTCTATATGTCCTTGGCTTCAACTCTTTACTTATATGAACTAGCTTCTGCTCATCCCTAGTCAACCTTGTCGAAATCTGATGCGGATGTAAAAGCCCCGGAGTATCAAACAACTTGGCATTCCTTGGAAGCACCCCTTCTACCCTCAATATCCCCAATGTAGTCCCCGGCACCGGTGCCTCTGTTAAATGACTTAGATTTCCACCTGAACACTTCCCTATTGCATTGATTAATGTGCTCTTTCCAGCATTTTGTGCTCCTACTGCCCAAATATGCCCTCTTGGCCCGGCCAGTCCCACTACATCATCAATCAAATTCTTCACTCCCCAATCCCTCACTGCACTAACCATATGTACACTCGTCAACTTAATCGCCCCACCCTCTCTTGCCCTTGTCCTAACCCAATGTTCAAGCCTAGTAGGTGATAATGAGCTAGGTAAAAGATCAATCTTTGTAACTACCAATACCATTCTAGGTACATTCCCTGATTTCCCCTCCTTCCACGCCCGCGAATTCTCTTCAATTGTCCTAGAAACTAACTGAGCTACTTTCCTAGGAAACGATCCATCGAAATCAGATGCATCAACCACCATCAAAACAACCGCCCTCGCCCCACTACTCGACATCAACCTCCTCCCAACAGTATGATCAAAATCAAAATCAGGCAACAAATTCTCCACACTTGGATCCTTAACCTTCCCATAATGCCTCAAACTATGACACCTAGCACAAACAACAGGCTTTTCACCTTTCTGCCCTGGTTTTTCAACATTTTCTTGATTTTCATGTTCTACATCCTCATTAAGCAAACCCCTTTTCAGAGAAAACGATATCTCAGGCTCATCAGCAACTGGATTCTTGTTAATGGGTGTTTTATAATTTGGGGGTTTAACACATGGCTTGATGAAATACCCTGGTTGTTTTTGGTCAGAATCTTGCATTTTAACACCACAACCAGGGCAAACAACATCAGAAATGGATTCCTCAAAATTCCCATCTCTAGAAACTGGTAAAGATTGGATTTTTATAGGTGTAGAGTAGTTTCTAAAGCTGAACAAGAATGGAGGGACAAGGGTTTTAGCAGGGTTTTGGGTATTAACATTTTCAAGAATTGGAGGAGAAGAGTTGGGTATGGGATTTTTGTGTGTATATGCTGAGAGAGAAAGTGGAAAAATCAATTTCTTCAACTTTGATGAAGAAATTGATCTGATTATCATTGTTCTTTGATTGTTCTTTCTGTAAATCTAAGGTTGTTGTGAAAGAGTTTCAAGAGGCATTTGTACCCTTTTTTGAGGGTTTAAGGAATTTGTTGTCTCTTTGGGCTGTCTAAAACTAGCTAGGGTTCATTGAAAATTTTAATTTCGGGATCTAAATTACTCTAGACAAGCTGTTTATGACGAGCTCGATGGCTCATCAAGAAAGAATATTAGGGGTTTCAAATTTGAGAAATTCATTAGGGAGATTCTTGCTCAACCAATCAAGTTATTCTTATGAATTTTTAATTTTTTCTTTTTTAAAAGAAAAATGATAATTTTGAAAATTCTGTGTATTCGATTTTTGAATTTAGGATTTTGAAAAAATATAATTCAATCTTAATGAAAAAAAATTGATTTAATTTGATTTTTTTCTTTTCTTTTCGATTTAATTTATTTTTTGATTATTGGATCACGTCAGAAAAAATAATATGAATCTATTCGATTTTTATTTTAGGATTTTGAAAAAGTATCATTCAATCTAAATAAAAATAAATTTGATTTGATTTATTTTTTTCTTTTCTCGATTTAGTTTAATTTTTTAATTATTAGATCATGTCAGAAAAAAATAATATGAATCTAATATAATTTAATTGAAATAATGGACATTTTATTATTACTAAAATAATCCAGTATGCCTAAATATTATAATCAAAATAAAATGTAAATGTTATTTAATGCAAGTTGATTCTTTTATTGAGCATATATCAATAATTAAATATGTTTTATATAAAGATAAATAATTCCCCAGTTGCTGAAATGAGTCTGCTCTTGTTAAAAAGTAAAAAGAAGAGTTGCCACTAATGAGATTCGAACACACGAGCACTTTAAGTTTGCATGTCTTCGCTCTTTCAAGGCACATGAAATCACTTAGGATCACAATTCCAATCTTTGTTGGTCGTAAACCTTCCCTCATAGTGCCCCAAGTCAAATAAGAGAGACGAGAAAAATGCAACTATCTAATCAGGATCACAATTTCGACCTTTGTTGGTGAGTTCACCCTATTAGTGTTCCAAGCCAAATAAAAGAGGAAAGAAGAATGCAACTATCTAATCAACATCATAATTCCGACATTTATTGGTCAATCTACCCTAATAGTGGTTCTCCAAGCCAAATAAGAGATAAGAAGAATACATCTAATCAACATCACAATTCCAACCTTTATTGGTCGATCTACCCTAATAGTGGTTCCCCGAGAAAAATAAGAGAGATGAGAAGAATGCAACTATCTAATCAGCATCACAATTCCAATCTTTATTTGATCAATCTGCCCTAATAGTGGTTCCCCAAGAAAAATAAGAGAGATAAGAAGAATGCAACTATCTAATCAACATCACAATTCCGATCTTTATTGGTCAGTTGGCTTTAATAGTAATTCCCCAAGAAAAATAAGAGAGACGAAAAGAATGCAACTATCTAATCAACATCACAATTCCGATCGTTATTGATCGATCTGCCCTAATAGTGGTTCCCCAAGAAAAATAAGAGAGACGAAAAGAATGCAACTATCTAATCAGCATCACAATTTCGATCTTTATTGATCAGTCTGCCCTAATAGTGGTTCCCCAAGAAAAATAAGAGAGATGAGAAGAATGCAACTATCTAATCAGCATCACAATTCCGATCTTTATTGGTCAGTCGGCTCTAATAGTAATTCCCCAAGAAAAATAAGAGAGACCAGAAGAATGCAACTATCTAATCAACATCACAATTCCGATCGTTATTGATCGATCTGCTCTAATAGTAATTCCCCAAGAAAAATAAGAGAGACGAAAAGAATGCAACTATCTAATCAGCATCACAATTTCGATCTTTATTGATCGGTCTGCCCTAATAGTGGTTCCCCAAGAAAAATAAGAGAGATGAGAAGAATGCAACTATCTAATCAGCATCACAATTCCGATCTTTATTGGTCAGTCGACTCTAATAGTAATTCCCCAAGAAAAATAAGAGAGATGAGAAGAATGCAACTATCTAATCAACATCACAATTCCGATTGTTATTGATCGATCTGCCCTAATAGTGGTTCCCCAAGAAAAATAAGAGAGACGAAAAGAATGCAACTATCTAATCAACATCACAATTTCGATCTTTATTGATCGGTCTGCCCTAATAGTGGTTCCCCAAGAAAAATAAGAGAGACGAAAAAAATGCAACTATCTAATCAGCATCACAATTCCGACCTTTATTGGTCAGTATGTCCTAATAACCCCCCCCCCCCCCCCCCCCCCAAGACAAATAAGAGAGACGAGAAAAATGCAACTATCTAATCAGGATCACAATCCCGACCTTTCTTTCCTATAAAAAATGACTATTGAACACATAAAGAAACTATATGAGGGACTTGATAAAGAAACAAAAAGGCAAGAGAGAATATACAGAGAGAGACTAACAACCAGATAGATTATCATATGGCAGGTCATAAAAAAGCTTAAAATGCCTCACAACTTTAGATACATGATCCACAGTTGAGCTAAACTACAATCGATACGATCGATCCGAAAAACCAGAAACTGTATAGAACCATTTACAAAAAATTAAGCCACCAACCAATTTAGCGATAACTAACTATACTTTCTGGGCATCCCCGCAATGAAGGAAGATGCATATATCTAGTTTACAATGGCTCTCGCCAAATACGCCCAGCTACCTTTAGCTTCAGCTCCTTCCTGTCACCACCAGAGAAGAAGAGTGCCATGCTCCTTTGAATAATCAGCCCGTCTAAACTGTCTCGGACAGTTTTATGACTATCACGGATGCTCCTCGGTACTCCCTGCCATGTTAACTTTCTGCCAAATCCACCTACTTCAAGACTATAACTAAATCTTTTCGCATCATCATCATCACCCATAAAACGAAGGAATGCCATGTATACCGGTGCCAATCCAAGATTGAAAGCCTCAAAGTGCAGGCAAAACTGGTGCCCAAAACAGTTAAAAACCTATTCCAGGAAACAGCAAACAAACTATTACCAACAGCACATTGCAGATGGAACAATGTGAAAATCCACAAAAAAAGAACCTCAGTTATCATGGCTAAATGCTAGACGGAAAATTAATTGATAGGCGAACAACAAAATTATGCATGCTCTTGTCTGCCTTCATTTTCAACCAGAAAAGATAAAGCTGGGCATAAAAGTATGAACCTCCTAGCAATAGCTAAAGTACAAACATGACGATGAATAACAATATGTATACATCACTTCTACAATTGGATGAAGAAAACTACTCCTCTGTTTCAATTGTTTGTCTGGTTTTGATGTGACATGGAGTTTAAGAAAGTAAAGAAGACTTTTGAATCTTGTCATCTTAAACTAAAAATATGTAAAATGTGCCAAAATGTCCTTCAATCTTATTGGCTTAAACATGTCAATGTGGAGAGTTGGAATTAAAGAGTTTGCTAAAAAGGGAAAGAGGCATTATTTTTTAAACAAACTAAAAGGAAAGTAAGACAAACAAATTGCAACGGACGGAGTAGATAATAGTGTCAATCTTTTTTTTGATAAGGTAAATAGTAGAGGATTTTTCCTCAAAGTATCTAATAGGAGGCCAAGATCTAACTTTTAAGAGGAAAAAAGTAACAGAAACAGCCATCAGTTTCTCTCCTTTCACAGATAACAGCTTCAAAATTTTCTAAAGATTTTCTTTCAATGTTACTTAAAAGGGCATGTGAATCTCATTGGGATTTCACCATCTTCCAACGAAGGCAATTCAACTTTAAGTTGTTGATAAAGAAGCACAAAAAAACTGGATGTTTGTGTTTCTTTTCCTTGTGCAGGAAAGCTGTAAAATTACAACATACCCGGTGTTAGCCTACAAGTGGGTCTAGGGAGGGTAGAGTGTACGCAAATCTTACTCCTACCTCATAGAGATAGAGAGGTTGTACCGTCTTATCCTGCATTGCTGCAAGAGGCTATTTCCATGGATCGAACCCGTGACCTCCTGGTCACACGGCAGCAACTTTACCAGTTACACCAAGGCTCTCCTTCACAACAAAGGTAAAAAAAAAAGAAGAGAAAGAACGAGAGAAGACTAACCGTCAACATCCATGTAGCATTCTCAACTTCTTGAGGATTAGATTTGACATAACGATGATTAAAGGTACACCCATCATGCATATCAACCTTGTGATCATCTTTTAGGTGTGCAACGAGGTACTGAATATCACCAGTAACAGCGCATTCAGATCCTGCATATGGGCAATTGTATGGGCGAAATCTGCAGTTCTGCTCATGTCGAAGCCTAGTATGATAAGTGAATATATCTTGACAGCCATAAATTTGGTATCGGCACGGCAATTCTAGTGACTCAGCAATTTTTTCCAGTGCTAGACATCTAATGTTTCCAAGCTCATGGCGGCAAATTGGACATACATGTACTTTTGACTTGCACTTCACGCATAATGTGTGGCCATTTGGACACTTACAAGAAAAAGATCAACAAGCTCAGTAAAAGACCAAGAAATGCATAATGGACTTGAAGAATAAGAACACAAACTTAACAAAAAAGAAGAAGAAAAACGAAACAAAAGTTCAGTCGGCCAACATTTTTTTTGAAGGGACAATATCTTTTTCTTTTGATTGTGCCACAAAACTATCACTCACTACCCTAGAGAAGGAAGTATGCAATGAATACTACATAAACTGTAAATAGGAAAATCATCTTTCCAACTTTCTATCCCGAAAACATACCAAAAATCTGCTATTAATGTTAAATTATATGCTTTACTGACTTCTTTGTGGCAATTCCTTCACATAGGCCATAGAACTAAGAGATGCATTGGGTATGGGTATGTAGACTGTAGTACAATACATAAATATGTTTATCTTGTAGGAAACTAGGTGCTCTCTATCGTTAACTAGCAACGACAAGCATCAAATTTTCACAATAATTTTCTCTAATACAGCTTGTAGAGTTGACTGTCCATAACATGAGACATAATTCCTTCAGGAAACTACGTGCGCTCTTATTGTTAACAAATGATCGGAAGTACAGACTTTAACCATCATTTTCCCCTCATACACCTTATTTGAAGGAAAG